ACACTATACAAAGTGTCAAGTCATCCCAAGAAGATAAGATGACGAATATCCTGGGTAATAAACATGTAATCCGCACGTGTATTCCTGTATAAGTTTGTTACGCACAATTCCAATTAGCCAGCTGTCCCAATTATCTCTCCAATCACCTTTACACGTGTGAGCACATTACTGGACTAGTTTGATTATTCTGTTAAACAAGCGGGACACATGTCCTTACCACAATAGAGTATCATTTTTTTTACTTGGGCACAAAGTATTACCTTTTTAGTATAAATATCACCTTCCAACATGTGAAGAGGGATCCAATATGAAATTCTCTTGTTGTTACCCTGCCGAATTGGGTACTCAAAGATACTTAGCAACTTCCCTATTTCCTCTCTAATATTTCCCGGATTCCGGCTACCCCCAGGGTCAGCAATCCATCTGTGAGGAAGAAGCTACAGTACTACTGGCTCGTCCCCTTCCTGAACCGTCGCCATGGAGTGAAGGGGAAGTCTATAGTTTGAAATAAAACGAGTGAACTCTATTTTAATTCCATTTTATTTTGTTTGTGTTTTTATTTCAAACATAGAACTTTTTGTCATTTTGTATCTTGCTTAAATTCTGTTATATTAATATAAGACACTTTGACTAAATTAAGACCAACAATTAGCGTAAGACTAAAACATGCCTACTTTGACCATCATACCCCTAAATTTTAATTATATAGCAACAATTAGCGTAAGACTAAAACATGCCTACTTTGACCATAATACCCCTAATTTTTAATTAGATAGCAAATGCCTACTGAAACATGCCGCTGCAAAATTGCTCGCATATCCTGGATTGCAAAACGTCGGAGTATGCCTGCGAAATTCCTCAAACGTCGCCAGTCTTGCGTCCTTCGGAGCTTGATAGGAATCCCTCGAACGCCTCCAGTTTTGTGTCTTTGTCGCTTGGAGGCGCTACCCTGAGTCGCCCTACTTGCCGGTAAGCATGCCTGTCGGCGCTGCTCTGCTCCGCCTGGAGGACGAATCATTCAAAAGTCACCCCAGAGATCACACTTCAATACGAAAGTAGAAGACATTTTGGAAGCTACACAGGCGAGTAAGGCGAACCCTGATGCGGATGTTGAGGGCTAACTTTCCTGGGAATTGGTATTGGATTATGAAGATGATTGACATTTTTGGCCAAAGTTCAGCTTCAAAATTGGAGCTGCAAGTTTTCTTTCAAAATTCTATACTTTTGAGCTCTAATTGCATTCTTGGTGATCAATTTTTTCTTCTTAATAAAACGTAGTTGCAGAGAAGGCTGATCTAGAAGATGAATTTTATATCAAGGCACCATGATTTCACAAGAGGAATAGAAAAAATCAAATTGATAATGACGATGGAAGCTATGTAGCCATGTTGGGTTGATATTTAATATTAATTTAATCACAAATCCTATTTGTTATGTATGTCTACATTTTATATTAAAACACACATGATTTTGCAGGGAAATTGTGGTACATTTGTCATAAAGTTCGTTGAGCTTCTAATGCTGGATAAAAAAGTAAGTGAAGTTTTGAAAGAACACTTGGATAAGTATACAAAAAAACAATAAAGCTACTGATGTATGCATACCGAAGAAGCAGGTGGATGAAGACAATCTGTAATACAAAATAGTATGTGGTCTAAGATGCAATATAACAGTTAAATTATTGGAAAGAAAGGTCTATGTGAAACTTTCTTCTTTTTGTCATTAAGTAGTTTGATTACACATTAGTTACATTTGGTTTTGAAATATGACAATGTATTATATCCTCCTTTTCATTTCAAAAGAAATGAGTGTTCGTTGTTACTTTTTATTTCTTGATGTGATCACTATAAACTCTGATATAATTATGGAACAAAGTCCATAAATAGTCAATAATACGTCATTAATAAAACAAGTGTAGACATTAAATGACTACAACTAAAGTAAGTACACAAGTCAGTTACAACTATATGAAATAAATTTTAGATACAAGACACTTGAAGTAAATATGAATGTGCGTTTGTTAAATGCGGTCACCGAAACACAAAATTTTTCGTGCAATTAACTGCTACACATGCATATTCATCAGAAAACGGCTTGTGAATAAGGGAAGAAGCACAAAGAGAACTATGTGGGCAAAGTAGGCATGTTAAATGGATTTTGATGTAGGCAGTAAATACGTACAAAAGACACTGTCAATAATCAGACAGTAAAAAGACATTAATTTCAAAGATGATGTCTGCTAGTTCTGAAACAACTACTACATATTATTCAATGAACTTGAGTTTGAATAATAAAATAACATAATCTCGGATGCCAATAAATCATGGCAAATAATGTAAAATTACATTGCTAGTAAACCATGTCAATTTAAAAGTGCGGGAAAAAACTACAATTCTCACAACTCTCCTTGGACGTAATGAAATGAAAGTGATATGACATTTTGAGTTTAAGAACTATGGGCTGGAATAGGATCCCTATAAGGTTTCTTATTGTGCCTGCATTTTTACACCATGAACATTGTTCTCACAGTCGGGGAGAAAATTCTCCAATTGAAGACGAGCGCTTCTTTTAGGCCTACCGGGTTGGCGTGTGAGGCTTGTAGTTGGGCTGCACATAATCCGGAAGGTCTCAATCAAAGCGAGAACCAATAAGGTGCACCACCCCACTGAAAATAAACCCGCTCATGTGTAAAGAAGAATCGGGGTAGGATTCCTGAAACTATAAGCGACTCCCCACAACGATTCCAAAGTGTCAACAACTTTAAGACCTGAAAAGTTTCTAGTAAAACATCCCACAAGGCCGTATCCCCATGTTTAAACCAACGATATTGTAGCTTCTTCTTTCCGGACTAAAATGTCATTCCCAAAGGGTATGAAATACACCACTTGCATACCCTGAGTAGTATCACTGTTGTTCTGAAATAGATTGGTCCAGATTTTGGGGGGTGGGTGCACTGGTTTCTGATTCAGGAAATTCGTCGAGCACATTATCTGCATCAGTTGAACTCTCCATTTCAGCAAGTTCTTAGACTATTACTGTCTATCTCTAGTTCACTGTAAGACAATCAAAGAATTATATGAAGTACAAAAAAAAGAATTCAACTTTGGAAACTAAACACATAAGACAAAGGCTTTGAATTGTAATGTCAAAGTCTGAATGAGAATTCAAACCTAAAGATGGCAAAAGTGATACAAATTTCGTATATATATGAAAACATCAAACAATAACAAATTGTTTGAAAAGATGAGTGATAAAACTTACTAAAAGGTGCAGAAAATTTGTAAAACGTATGAAGCTCGATGAGCGATTAAACGAAGTTTCAGAACAATTCGTGGACCATACGAGCACGATCGGATCTGGAGAAGTGAACACGGATGATTAAAAAGATGAAGAATTTGAGCTTGCGTGATTTCACATACGAAGAACGAAAGAAGAAGAAAGGGTCCTTGAGGAAGAGATCGTCCGTTGGTGAAGGTCATTGGTCTTTAATACAGAGCCTAAAGTGGAGGGTAAAAACGGAAACAAAAAAATAAGTTTCCTAAAACAGAACAAAGTAAAGCATACAGATGGAAATAAACTGACTAAGTCCTATTCTTGTAAAGTTTGTACTCCCTCCGTCCTTAAAAGAACTTCCAACTTTCCCTTTTCGCCCGTCCCAAAAAGAACTTCACTTTCCCTTTTTGACAAAGAATGTGTGGTTCACAGTATTTCTCTCTCCTCTGCACAACTCTTCATCACACAATTCTCACTTTCTTAATCAGCGTACCACTTTATTTTGAGAAAACATTTAGGGACGGAAGTAGTATTATTTAGTCTTACTAAGAACAATTTTCTCTTTATATTAATATAAGACACTTTCTTCAAAAAAATCACCATTTGAAACAGGAGCCTCTAAATTTAATAGACCGCCTTGAATGAAATTGGCATTCGATCTACATAGTCTTTTTCAGAATTCATATTCAGATGTGTTAATTATAGATAGGAATTCGGTTAAAATTGTTGATATAAGGAAGAATTAAAAAAGTTGTTGTCATGGAGTGGAGAAGTACGTCTACCTAGAAGAAGAATGGAATAAATTAATGAAAGAGTTGGGAGCTAAATGGAAGAAAGGAATGAAAGATTGAGTAATAATCTATCAAGAATTTTCTGGGGTGCGAAGCGAGTGTTTGTAAGAACTTAGGAATCTCTTATCTAGTCTAGTTAAATATATCTGACCGTTTCTGGTTCTTTATTTATATACAAAACGGGGCGGGAGCTTAAGGTTTCTTCGATAGTAAATTTGGAGTGCTTTCCTCTGAAGGAGCAAAATCCGAGGAAGTCAAAGTCGGAATCGGAGAGTCTACTGCGACCTCTTCTAAAAAAACGCTTCCTTTCGCAAATGGCATTGAACTCTGAATCAACGGAATCATTCAAGCCTTACAAGCTCAAGCAAACCCTAACCGGCCATAAAAGCGCCATCTCCAGCGTCAAGTTTTCCGACAATGGCCGCTTTCTCGGCACAGCCTCCGCGGACAAGACCGCGCGCGTTTGGTCCGTCTCTGACGGCGCACTCGTCCACGAATTCCAGGGCCACGACCAGGGCATATCCGACATCGCCTTCTCCTCTGACGGTCGGTACCTTGCCACGGCATCCGACGACAAGACTGTCCGTCTCTGGGACGTCGCCACCGGCTCCGCCGTCAAAACCCTCACCGGCCACACCAATTACGTCTTCTGCGTCAACTACAACCACCAGTCTAACATGCTCGTGTCTGGTTCTTTCGATGAAACGGTTAGGATTTGGGATGTCAAGACAGGGAAGTGCCTCAAGGTGTTGCCTGCTCACTCAGATCCTGTCACCGCAGTGCACTTCAGTCAGGACGGGAAACTGATTGTGTCTAGCAGCTATGACGGGTTGTGTAGGATTTGGGATGCTTCAACTGGGCATTGTATAAAGACATTGATTGATGATGAAAACCCGCCTGTCAGTTTTGTCAAGTTTTCACCGAATGGGAAATTTATTCTGGTAGGAACTTTGGATGATACATTGGTAAGTTTCTTGTTCTTTCTTTTATTCCTTGATTTTTTTCTTGGATAATAACTTCATCCATATTCTAGTGCTTGATTTGTACCCCAGTAGGTGGGAGCCTTTGCGGCACTGGGGTACTGATGATGATATTCTAGTGTTGGGTGCTGGGTTTCCTAATGAAGATTAAATTTTGGACAATCTTGGGGGTGGGAGTGGAGGGGGACTTGTGATAGAAGTCATACATTGCTTGGTTTAATTTATTCTGTCATCTGCCAATTCCAAATACTTGATATATTTAAACTGTATCATTATGTCTAATGCTAATTTATGTAGACTGCAGTAGATTTCAATTTTTCTCTTTGTTCTAGGATTTGAATCCAAGCGGATGCATTTGAGTGATTAAAGTTCAAAATTGGCACTTCCAACTTTTCTTTGTAAAAATAAGCCTTCGTGTTTACAGTGTTTCAGTGATTCAAGGCTCAATATCGGAATTGATGTACTAAGTTTTAAAAACTTGTCCGTAGCTAGAGAACTACATATCTAAAACTCTAAATCTATAAAAATGTCTTATACTATGTACTACGTACTATAATGGAACCCTCTGCACAGATAGAGTTCGTACTCTTTTTCTGCCTAATAAAAAAAATGAAAAATATAAAAAAATATCTGGATGTCGACACAAAAGCTGACGCCAGATGAAACCTGGAGTTTGACGAATTGATGCAGAAGATAAAGATAGGTGAAGAGAAGACGTAAGCCGCATGGGATTCACATGCAACACTTGGTGCTCATTTCTTTGCATAAATTTTTAAGCGACGAACCTGTTCTTTCAACTTTCCGCATGTTTACCACTAGTTTGACCTTTTGGAATTATTTCGTCAAAGTCAGAAGTTTAAAGAAACTTCTGACAACCAACGCGAATGAATCAAGATTCATTTGTGATTCAACGATTCTGCGATTTAAGACAAGTATACAAGTGATCCTTGTTGGCTTGTTCATTTACGATCTTTAGTAGAAGCGTGGCCACAAGAGCTAATAGGAATTATATAATCGTGCAGCCCTAGGAGCTGGGTCGTGATTTTGATTACCATGCCTGCAAGGGTTAATATCTCAATCTTTTACTTCCAGGATAGTTTAGCTGTGTTATTAGATTTTTCTAATGTGCTATAGATATATTCAAAATGGTGCATCTGTGTGTACTTAAGTAGTCAAGTACAACTTCTAAAAGGTCTTTTTATCTGTGGAAGGATGAAAGTTGAGTATAACTTCTAAAAACTCTTCTTCTCTGCCGAAGGAAGAACAATGTGACCCTTAATGCAATATTGCAATAGAATTGATACATTTGAAAGTGGAGATTTCAGAAAATTCTTCATAGGGTATTCTTCCTTCAAGGTGGAAGGGAAAGTGCTCCTCCTCCCCCCATTTGGCTACAAAAGTGTGGAGGGTGAGACAATCTGTGTAAGCCCCTTCCCCCCACCTCCCCCCATTCCCTTCATTTTTCATACCTCTCAATGCGGGTTTTTGGAGGGGAGGCCAACTGTAACTACATTCCCCTTCCATTCCTCTCCCCTCTCCGCCAACTAAACCACCTAGCATAACAGAAAAACACTACCCCACCCCTCCTCTCATCTTTCCTTTCCTTCAATTGGGCTCCCCTCCAGTCTCCTTTATTGAACCAAACAAAACCCATAGGATCAGTTTTAACAGAAGATATTGAAGGAATTAGGAGAGGAAGACTTTGGAGGGTTAGTTTAGATCTTTATATACAGAATGTATCTAAAAACGAATGAAGGATTAAAGGGTGATCAAATCTGTATGATCACCTACTATGTTATATCTTCAATTCTTTAAAAATTTCAAAACATATATCTTGATATAGAACTTGGACTTAGCCCTACAAAACTTTTCATCCGAACTTACCCTTGAGTTCATAGGGAGTTACTGTAATCCGACTTAGTTATGAATCTTTCATCACTCACTCAAACTTTGTCTTTAGTATAATAATATGATTAGAACATTTTAAAAAATGTTCCTATAATAACTGTTGTGTTGCTTTTATTTCTTGAATTGTTGCTAATGTTTAGAATGGGTAGATATCTAATTATGGTCATCAATGAAATAAACTGTCCTTATTTTTACCATTTTTAGTTATTTCCATGGTAGATTCTCCCAGCCCCAGCCCCCCTCCCCACCCCCGATTTATTGTACGGAGTGTTTTCTCATGGCTTGACTATCAGTTCTCTATTTCCAACTAATACACCCATCTTGGTTTGTAACCCAAGAAAATATTTGGGAGAGAAAATAGGGAGTATAGTTAGAAGGAAAGAAATTTTGAGGAAAACTATATTCAAACTCAATAAAACCTTTTGAGATATTTGTACAATTCAATTTTTTTATTATTTCTATATATAAGGCTTAGTAACTCAATATAACCTCAATTGTCATCAAACTCACAATTTTGTCATATTCTTTACCTTGTTCTGAAAAGATTCAATCTTGATTTTTTTCACTCATATACTTTCTGTTGGGTTTTTAACTAGTAGTAATTAAGGTAGAATCCCCATCTTAATTACTACCCCTGTCCTAGCTTTGGTACTAGGTGGTGATGCGGTTATTGAAAAATGAGATTATGTGGTTGATATTGAATTGATAAAGTAAGAATAAGGTAAGAACGATTTGACACCAAACATATATTACCAAATATGGTATGGAACAATCTTAGTTTGACAGCCCGAAAAGGAAAAAATGGAACAATCATAGCAAAATGGAGGGGGTATTATTTAAGCGTTCAAAGTTTTCTTAAAAAATAAAGTAGTCTAACTGAGTAGTTGTTAGGCACTACTTGAGTGTTACATTTCTGTACCAATGGTGAATGGAATAGTCAGAGTTATCCCAGTATTATTTTGTACGTACTAATTTTGAGACTTACGGAAAATTTCAATTATGTGTTAATATGCTAGATTAACTTTTCATGAAATATTTTTTCTTTTTGTTGCAGCGTCTTTGGAACTACTCCACTGGTAAATTCTTGAAAACATACAGTGGGCATGTAAACTCTAAGTACTGCATATCTTCAACGTTTTCCATCACGAATGGGAAGTATGTTGTTAGCGGTTCCGAGGATAATTGTGTGTATATTTGGGAGCTTCAGTCAAGAAAAATTGTTCAAAAGCTTGAAGGTCACTGTGATGCTGTTATATCAGTTGCATGCCACCCAGATCAAAACATGATTGCTTCTGGTTCACTTGGAAAGGATAAGACAGTAAAGATCTGGACTCAGGAGGATTAGTTTGTTTCCATACATAACAAAGTTTTGTAGGCCAAAACAACGCTCTTTTTTGGAAGAGGAGTTTGAGGATGAGTTTCCATATGAGATATGATTGCATTTTCCCAAACAGCGCACAGACCTGCGATTTGACTAAATTTCCTTGGCCAAATAATTATAGGAGTATGTTTAGACTTGGGTATATATCATGTAAGTGATATCCGTTGTTTATTCTCACTTTGTAGTGTGGTATTGGCCAACTTTTACCCCCTTGGGTAAATCTTTACCTGAACTTGTATCTGACCGTATTAAAAACTCTTTCTTTTCACTTCACGGCTCCGCAAGTAACCATTTTTCCCATGGTTCTATCTCGAGTAAAAATGATGTTCGGAGTATGATGCATATTGTCTTTACATTACATTTGTCTTGTGTAATCAATTGTTGCGTTAAAAGTCAAATTGCCGAGATATTATCCAATGCAAAAAAAGAGCCAGAAGATGAAGAATTGCTAACCATGGATAGAATTGCTCATCCAATTTTTGCATTAAGGGTGCACAAATATCTTTAAAGGTCTTACATGAGTAAATTTACTCTTATTGATTTCAAATAAAATAAATTTAAAAAAAACTAAAAAATATATAAATTTAAATTTTGAAATCAAAACTTTGAGACCTAGGTGGCTAGGTTATCAAAATAGTCCTCTATCAGTTAAATTTTTTTGGACTAGGTCCTCAAAATAACTGATACTGCATTGTCAATTGTCATTGTCATTTGGTAAAAACAAAATCACTCATAATAACAAAGTTGAAGAATGAATGTGCATTTTCTGTGTTACCTAATTCTAGTTTTAACATTTTATAATTGTCAACTATCAAGTTTTGTGAACATTTTGACACACTGTACATGCTATTTGCTAGCTTATTTTTCTTTTGTATTGTTTTATAAAAAAATTGTCAACTCCAATATACCGTGGTCAACCCATTACAAATTTTATACATTTTGATGTTTTAAGGGTTTTTTTGGCACAACTACATAGTTGAGAAAATACTTTTGTGAGTTTTTTTTTTGTAGTTTGATAGAAAAACTGAGTGTTTGATTTAGTTATGTTTGATATACAAGGTATTGTGACTAAGTAATGTTAAAACCTACAGACTTTTCTGAGATGCTACTCAATGTAACTTCTCAAAAAAGATTTTTTATTTTAAAAAAACTATTGAAATTGTAGTTTAAACATACAACTACAAGTTTTTGGAGACTTTAAATAGTACAAAATTTAGAAGGTAGGAATTTATACTTAGCAATTATGAACTAAGTGAACTTTATTTGCTTATGTTATGTTAGCAATTATAGAAGCTCAAATGTAATTGTAAACCCTATAACTATAAAACTTCCCCATGTTGCCTTAGTAAGACAGACATACATAAATAGAGTGCGTGAAAAACTCTTGAAATAACAATAAAAGTAATGTACAATTTCAAATATAAATATTATGTATTTTCTTAAATACAATAAAATTATCATCATCTTGAAATCATACGATTATATCCTGACATTATCAAGTATTAATGTCAATATTAATGTCATAATTGACATTATTTTTTAAGCATAAGAGTGATTACTTCAATTCAAAGGAAGATAGAGCACTGCTAAATTTGAATTTCACATTGTTATTACTCCAATATACGGCATTTGAAAGTGATTTTTTACTGAAATGCTAAAAATTACTCCCTCCGTCCCGATCATTTCTTCCAATTTTCCTTTTTGGGCCGTCCCAATTAATTCTTCCAACTTCTACTTTTGGAAAAAATATGTGGTTCATATTCATTCACATTTTTCTTACACAACTACAACCATACATTTTCACTTTATTCCCACTACCTAAATTTGCGATACCGGTCAAAATTGAAAGAAATAACCGGGACGGAGGGAGTAATATCTTAAAATATAATCTAGTGACAACTTCAAATGTTTTTTAAACATAGAGATGTACTTCCTCCGTTTCACAATCAAATTCACAGTTTGACTTTTGCAGACACCTAGGTAGATGTTTGAACGTAATTTCCTATTAATACATACAAATAAAATCTATAATAAATTGACATTTGAATAATACATATTACAATGAAGAACATTATATAATTTTTTTTTGGAAAAAATATAATTAATTTTGAGTAATAAGCAGTAAAAGTTTAACAAGTTTGACTCAAAAGGTTTGTCTGTGACTTTAATTATGAAACGAAGGGAGTATTTATGTATTTTTACACAGATATTTGCAACTGTCTTTGCACACATACAAATTGATCTCAAAACTTGTACATTTACGACTTAAATTATTTGTAACTACATCTTTCATCAATCTTTTTTTTTTTTTTGAAAAAAAAAACAATCTCTTATTCAAATTACGTTCTATTGATATAATCTCTAAAAACCAAAAAAATGTTGGATTAATAATTCTTTGTGGTTAACTATATGATAAAATTAGGGGAAAATAATTAAAATACCTCAAACTTTAAAAGGTGTGTGAGATAACACCCTAAACTTGCATATGTAATTTAAATACCCTAAGTTTTATATAAAAAGTTATTTTAGCACCATAGTCAAGTATTATTTATTTCTAAAATGTAAATTTATGGTACGTGTTAATTGCATAATTTAAAATATTTTAGAATTCATGAAGACACAATTAACATTCTAAACTTCCATTGCGAAATAAATAATGTTACTCTCAATTTATAAAATTGCAACACTTTAAATTTTCCTATTTTAAATTATGCAATTAACCCCATAAAATTACATTTTTGAAAGAAATATTACATGATAATGGTTAGAAAATAATTTTTTATATAAAGTTTAAGGTATTTAAATTATATATGCAAGTTTGGGGTGTTTATCTCATACTCCTTCAAAGTTTGGAGTATTTTTATAACTTTCCCCATAAAATTATAGTGCAATTTTCACTACAAAAAACATGTCATTGGCAGGGATTTGATAGGGATTTTGGCAGGGATATGCCAAATCTATGCCAAAAACACTTTGGCACGAGCTATTTGGCACGAAAAATCGATAAATCCATACCAAATTCCGTGCGAATCCCGGAGTATTTTTGTAGTGCTTGACCCTAATCCAGTATGCTTTACAGTGTATGAAGCTATGATGATCTAATCCAACTACTACCAGGTTGCTTTACAACCCTATATCTCTGCATTAATTCCCTAACACTAGCTGATTCTTCCCATTTCCCCGCATCAGCATAAATATTTGACAACATCACATAAACTGCCGGGTTATCCTTTTCCGTCTCCAGCAGAATTCCAGCAACAATTCTTCCTAATCTCGCATTACCATGTGCAGCGCATGAACTGAACAACCCCCACCACACAGTGGATTCTTCTATCTCAACAACTTTTTTCTCCTTTACCATCTTTTCCGCCTCGTCAAGATATCCAGCACGGCTAAGAATATCGACAATGCAAGAGAAGTGCTCCACTCCAGGCTTAATATCATAAGTATTTACCATCGAGTTAAACATTTGTATCCCATCTTTAACCAAACCTGCATGACTACAAGCTGATAGAACTCCAGTAAAAGTCGCCTTGTCTGGTTCTATCCCGCCTGAATCCGTCATCATTTCAAAACAACGAACAGCTTCCCTTCCTTTCCCATGTTGTGCATATGCAGATATCATTGAATTCCACGTAACAACATCTCTTAGAACCTGTTGCCTTTGCCTGAAATATGTGATTGAATTAGTAAGTTTTATATGGTCCGGTCTGTATATATTTGGTCTTGTCCATTCTAGTCTAAATCGTTCTGTTCTAGTCTCATTTCATTTGAATCTTTGGGATTCCTTTAATTAATTTATCAAAATATAACATTAGGTCTGACCCCATGAATTTTTCTAGTCTAGTCTAGTTTGGATGCTTGATCTGGACTTTTCTTGTTTGGTGACAGATATAGTCTGTATGTCTTTGATTAGAACAACAACAGTACTTATTAGTTCCACCATCCAAAAATATTTCAGTTATTTAAATTTAAATCCTCCTAGACACTGCTTAAATTAGTATTAATAATTAAGTTACATATTCAGGAAACAAAACGACAAGTTCTATTAAACGGTAAACCACAAAACTAGCGAAGTTTGATATTTCCCATCCCGGAAACAACTTCCCACTTTTACATAGGCAGAATTTACTATTTTAGTGGAAAGTTAAAGTAGGAGTTGACTTCCAGTGAAACCCCTATTTTATGTCAAATCAAGAAAAAAGTAAGGGTAGTTTTGATATTTTATGTTGAAAAGTTACTTTTTATGGAGAGGTGAAGTTTATTTTGAGACATTCAAATAAGGAAAATGGGAAGTTGTTTTGGGGACGGAGGTAGTATATAAAATCATACTACTTATATTAATATGAAATTCAGCTGACCGCATAAATAATGATAAATAAAGATTCATTCGGGATAATGATGATAAATATTCATTTGGGATAGAGGAAGTATTAAACAGAAGAGACAATGTACAGAACAATACCTTACAGTCATAATCTGGAACACCCTCACGGACCAATGTAAAACCCCACACTTCGAGTAGAGAGCAATTAGAGTGTTTCCCAAAGAAGAATATTCAAAAAATAACCCAAATTTAAGAATATATCCATGAATCTGTTTTCCGTGTGGGAGAGAAGGTATAGTTGCACATAAACTCAAGACTATGCTGAGAGTGGAAGCATTGGGCGTCAAACCTATCCCCATAAGCTCACTGAAGAGGTTTAAGCCCTGCACAGGTAATCCATTTGATTGACAACCAGAAATTATTGCGTTCCACGTGACCAAGTTTTTTGACAACATGTTGTCACGGAAAAACCTGTAGGCTCGCTCTATTTCGCCAAACATAGAAAGGGAAGAAATCAATGAATTTGAAACTTCAATTTTCAAGATAAGCCCACTCTTAATTGCGATGGATAGAATCATCTCGACATCAATTACTGAATGTGAATTTGATAACAAGCTCCCTAAAGTGAATTGATCAGGAAAAACCTGTTCTCTCTGCATTGCAAGGTATGCCAAGATTGCTTCTCCAAACATATTATCTTGTTGGGCATAGTATGCTATGATGGAATTCCACGACACAACATCCCTCTCCTTTATTCTATCAAAAACTAAAAGAATGGCTTTAAAGTCATTACAATGGGAATACATTGTTATGGCAGCATTACTCACAGAAGTGCAATCTTGTAAACCGTGTTTTACTACGAGTGAATGAATTTGAGCAGCAATTTTTGCATCGGAACATGAACCCATTAAACTGACAAAAGTCAACCCGGTTGGCATCAGACTGATGTCTTGCATATGCTTGAACATAACGAGAGCATCCTCATTTCTTTCCAGGCTTACTAGCCCAGCAATCATTGCATTGTAAGTTATATGATCAACGACTCCATCCTCTGCATCTTCAAAAACTCTGAAAGCATCTGAAACAGATTTGAAGTTATAATACATTGTCAGCAAAGCGTTGATAACAGAGGTTCTAACAAGAAACCCAGTCTTAACCACCATTGAATGAATTTGCCTGCCAAACCTCCATAGCTCCAAAGAGCAAAGACTCAAGACACTGGCAAAAGTGTAATTATCGTGTAAAACGCCCAAAGAGTGCATTTTTTTGAACAAATTGAACGCAACCTCGTCATAGCCGCTCTCTGCACAGCCTGTAATAATGGCATTCCACACAGCAACATCTCTATGCAGCATCTGATCAAACACCTGGAATGCATACTCCACTTCGCCAAGTTTCGTGCAGGCAGACAGCAATGTAGTCCACGAATAAACATCTGGATAGCCAATTTCGTAGAAAAGCCTTTTAACACAACACAAATCTTGGGTCTTGGCATAGAAGGAGAGTAGAGCATTTGAAACATGGGAAAAAGTTCTTAACCCGGACCGAAAGCCAAAGGCGTGGATTTGGGAGCCCAAGATGGTGTCTTGGCTGTTTGCACAGGCAGTGAGGGCGGTGGAGAGAGTGTAATGGTCGGGTCTGAGGTGGTGGGAGGAGTGGATATGGTGAAAGAGGTTGAGAGCACAGTAGTATTGGCGGGACCTAGCGAAGTCAGAAAGGAGACAATTCAGTTTGATGAGCTGCTTTCCGAGGTTTTCTGGTGCGCCCATGAAATAAGAAATCCTGGATTACTGGTTCGCGACATTCCAGAAGCTTTCTGGTGTTGGATTCAACAGCCTAAAAACCGGACTACAGAAGGCTGAGAACTAGTCCAACGACAACAATCATAGATTCGTAGGTTCATACGATTTCTAGCAGTCCTATAATTCGACAGGAACTGATCCGTACGAAATCCAAACAAGACGAATTGAGCTGGTAAAATCTATAAACCCGAAACTTTAATTGATAACTGCACGTCTGTCTGTACACAACCATGACTTGAACTGGTTCACGCGGCATACATTTTTATGAAAGTATGGCAATGGGTAGGGCCGGGTAATGCAGGACCCGGATCCGTCTTTGAAATAAATAGGTGGTCCCTCCCCGCCCCGTGACCCGCACAGGTCATTAGATGTTAACCCATAATCCTCTCCATGCGGGGTACGTCGGCTCCGTCCCGCAATAACCTAATAGCTACTACACGCATTTCTAATTTTGTGAAACCATTACAGTTAGAATTTTACATAAAGGGTGTCTCCAAAGAATTATAAAAACAAATATAATAAATCAAAGTCACAAGACATTAAAAAGTTTCAAAAATTAAGAAAAAAATATAGAATTAAACAGTTAACTATTAATTTATGAATAATTGAATATATAAATGTTAAATACACACAAAAACACATTGACAAATAACTTTTCATCTAGTTCAAAATGTAAATATTACTCTGTAATATGTTATAAGATCAAGGAATTCTTCGATTATTACTCACACACACATACACATATGTGTATTTGTAGTACTCCCTCCATCCCAATTTGGTTTGCAAAATTTCCTATTTGGATTGTCCCAAAATGTTTTTCGACTTTCCATTTTAAGTATGAAATATAGGCTAAGTGACAATTTTAGTCTTACAATTATTCACCCGCATAGGTAGCTCAGTTGGTCGAGTTGTGAGAGATTTGGAACAATGTACCAAGGTTCGAATCCCCGCAGCGACCGGGTGGAGGTCACAAAACTTGAAATAAGACTGGGTCTCTGGTGCGCACGGGTGTATGACTCTAGTGTCATTCTGCTGACTGAGTCACCGTGATTAATCTCCCCACCATCATGTCGGGTCGGGGTGGGGACTCCTGGAGTGGGAGATTCCACCTGGAACAATAGTCTTACTCTTATTCTACTCATTTTCTATACCAACTACTCCATTTACGCAGGAATTAATCCACCAACCCCGTCTTATCATCTTCCCCACACCCTTTTCTCTCTTCTCAGTGAACAAGACCACACTAGTGCAGCCAGAAATCCTACTCCCCCTCTCATCAGGTAACCATAGCTTTAGAAATAAGGGAAAATCGGATTGTTGGGTCTCAATATCTACCCCTCCTGAAACTACCTGCAGCGCCCCTCCTGAAATCAAACTTGAGCTCAGCAATGGCTACAGCAACAGGAGGCCGGCGGTGCATCGGCCGTTTCCCGTCTTCTCTCCCTCCCCAGCTTTTCTTTCATGGACTCTTACATGTTTGCGGCGATGGTCCCACACCATTAACATATGGTTGTGTTCGGCAGAGGAAATCATCCTCACTCTAATCAGTGCTCCTTCATCTCGCCATTGCCATGTCCGGTAGAGGAAATAATCCGCATTCTAATAGATAGCGTCGTGGCTATCTAAGAATCGTGGAATACTGAAATGTACATAGTACTTTCGTATGACTTTCTTTTCCCCTTTTCAGTTTTGTACTCTAGTTTATTAGGAAAAGGGCAAAGTGGTAAACTCATTTTAAATTTATACCTTTTCTTCATCCGTGTGCCGGTCAAATGTTGCACTTCAATTCGGGACGGAGGAAGTATAATTTAAAAAAAAAGATATACATTTATATATTAAGCGGGTTGGGCCAGATCAGGGCGGCACGGGTCAATACTAATACCTGACCCGCCCCATTTTATTCAGGGGATGGGGCAGACCCACCTCATTTGCAAGACGAGGCGGGTCTCTACAGGCCGAGTTTTTTTGACATGCCTATTTTTATGATGTCATGAGACTAGCTAGTTTCCGTCTAGCTTGTCCCAACAAGATAGTTTTATTCATTTTAATTTTCAATGTGCTAATAATGTAAACTTGTTTAGTTGTTTATATTATTTGTAGTATAATTGTATACTCTCTCCGTCCAATATTATTTTCATCCTTTCCCTTTTAGTCTATCCCAAAATAAATTTCACTTTCCTTTTTTGACAATAGATATGTTGATTCATAGCATGTGTCTCTATCTTCTCTCTCCTCTGCACAACTTTAACCCGCACATTTCTCTTTTTCTTTATCTGTGTGCCAAGTAAAAACAAGAGTTACTATTGAGACGGAAGGAGTATTATATATAGGCCATAAATATCATGGACTAATATCAAACCCGTTTAACTAAAATTGGTTAAATCTGCTAAAATTTATGAAATTCTAACTGAAGTGATTGAAATAACTAAATCTGCTAAATTGTGAAATAAAAACTATATTTAAATTAAAATATACTCTGTGGTTTATTTAAATTCAAAAATGATTACCAAACAAACTCTCAATTTTAAGATGTTTAAGTCTAGTATAGTGTTTAAATAGGTATATCTAAATCCAATTTATTTTTAAATCTAAACCAGTTCAATTAAAAATATCATTATTGATTGTTTAATACATCAAGGCATCATTATAAAAATTGTGAACATTATTTATCTATTCAATATTAGTTTTAAGTCTTATATTATGTTAAAATAAAAAATAAAGAAATTTTATCAGTTCAAGATACACGAATTATTAAAGAAATGCACTCCTAAATGCATCGGTAAAGAACAAATGCACGAAACTACAACAAATGTAGTGGTTTTTTTTAAAGAAATCATTTGTGGAAATGTGATACGAAGTACGGAGTATTGAACTGTGTCGTTAGTTCGTTACTTTCCAATGAAACTATGAAAGGCAACTTTGTTTCCAGAGGCACATCTTTGTTTTCATTTCTCCTTACTAGTTGCACATAGGGATGGACTCGGGCCGGGTAAACCGGCCCGTAACCGGCCAGTCTAGTACTATTACAGCCTGGCCCGTCCCGGCCCGGTAACCAGGTCTGTGCCCGGTTCAGGCCACCCGGCCCAATACTGTTACAAGGCGGTTCCCAGGCCTCCCAAATCATGAACCGACCTGGCCGGTTCGTACCCAGTCCGAGCCACAAGGGTCAAATTTTAAAACTTGCACACTTGCACAGCTTTTATGTTCCTAGTCAGAGTCACCGGACACCCAGCCCAGGAAAGTCAGTTGATTCTCCCTTTCAGGTTCCACATGCATTTATATTTCTTAGTTTATAACAGGAACAAATACCCAGAAAATGTTTGGAATTGATTAATTTATTGGACTATGTTAACATGTTTCCTTGAGCTTTATTACTTTCTACATTTTCCTTAACCATGCTCTCACTTTTCCACATTTCTTTCATATATTCTCGGAGTTCCAAGACGATGCTTCGGCTAGAAACCCTATGGGCCACTCAAAGATAGGCCTCGCCGGCCACCACCACTAAGAGCTAAACTCGGCTCTTGTGTGGCAGCTCACATACATTGTTCTGGTATTATTACAAGGATATACAATGGCTTTTTCTGATGGTCATAAAGATCAGTCTTTGTCATCAAGAACCGATTCACTTTTGTAGAAAAAGTATGCCCTTCTGAATACTTGCTGCTAGCTCTTTTTTTGCCTTTTCCAGCCCAGCCCTATAAGACGAGAAGCTACATGAACATCTAATGATCTAATTAGAATTGAACAGAGAAAAAAGACATATTACAATAGTTAGCATGGGACCTTTCATATTCATTCAAGGGACCGAGTGGGTAAATCTCTTCAACTCCATTGCGGCCGAGGCAAACTTTTGATGCAAAGAAAGGAAGGTCTGTCACCTAAAAGGAGTAAATCACCTTATGGATAAGCAGTGTTGTAAATAGTGAAAACAAAGAGATGACTAAACGAGTCCTGGCACCAAGACGGGCTTAAGCAAAGCTGGGCAACAATTTATAGGATACTTTTCAGAACATACAACCATATATACTGAAATAAAAGCACTCCCTTCGTCCCAGGTAAAGGTTCTCACTTGATTTTTTTTTTGAAGTCCCATCTACAAGTTTTCATTTCTATCTTAGGAATCATTAACACTCTTAAATGGCAACTTAATCATCAAATATTAAAAAAAATACAAATATAACATCATTGTTATCATCAATGACCTCATTATATTATATATATACTCATCAAAACTACTCAAAACATACTCGAATTACCTTATTTAATTATTGACTAGATAACCGTGCCATTTTCTAATGAGAATCTTAAGCAGAGACCGCGGTAGTATAAGTAGTGTTTGCAGTAGCTTTTTGCTTCCAAAAATATAAAATAGCCAAAATTCAGCAGTTTAAAGCTAAAAACTGAATGTATGGGTTTGTGCTTAAAACTGTATTTCACTTTTCGATTATACAAAAAAGTACATTTTCTTTAGGAAAAATTCAAAATATTAATCTCAACTATTGTCGGTCCGCTAACAATAATCCCAACTATTGATTATTATTGTATAATCCCAACTATATGGACCGTCCGCCAATAATGGTCCATGACCACATATTACCTGCTCTAACAAGTGAATTTTTAATAGAAATTAAGCGTAAAAATTAAAATTCAGGATTATTTATAGAGATTACTTGTTATATCTCTTTAGAAACTATAGGAATTTATTTATAGTCGATCACCTCGGACCATTATTGGCGGAAGGGCCCTAAAGTTGGGATTATTCTAAAATAATCGATAGTTGGATTATTATGAGCGGACCGCCAATAGTTAGGATTATTACAATCAATTTTTCCTTCTCTTTAAATAGTCTAACTTTTTAACTTTGTTAAAACCACTTTTCTTTTCAAACAAGACCACCTTTTGCTAAAAATTATTCTCATATAATCTCTAAAATAAATCACTTTTCAAAAGTAGAGTTAGCTCAGAACTACTCGTAATACTTTTGAGCTAAAAATTACTCCCTCAGTCTCACAAAAAAATAGTCATGTTTCCAAAACCTTTTTCCCTTAAAATAACAGAGTCCGAATTTTAAAAATATACCTTCCACTTTTAAGTAAATCCATGTAAAGCCAGCTGTTAGAGGATTCAGTCAATCATCAATCCTTGAAGTGCTTTTTCACAGTATAAGTGACCATTCATAATTTGTAAAATCTTGTATCTATATTGACTTTATTAAAACAAA